AATAACACACTTCTTCTTAGAAAGGTTAAGTGACCTGAACTAGGACCCGTAACCAGGGGTACCGAACTAGGATAGTCTAGTTCGGGTTCTTCAACCTCTGCTGGTTTGTGGGGTCACTCTTGTTCTTCGGCCAAGTCAAGGGTGAAGTAGTTGGAGGGTCGACCTCAGACACTCAGTGTGGTGATGCGTTCGATTCCTTTGACGATCGGAATCAGATCCCTGTCGGCAACAAGCATCACGAAGCCAAAACAATAGGCGGAGCAGAGCGCAGCACACTGAAAGCTAAGAGTTTCGACCAACCTACGGCATCCTACGGCATCCTACGGCATCCTACGGCCTATGAGCTTTACCTCAAAAGAAACTGCACAGTCTCCGACAAAAGGATTCTCAATCTCTAAGATGCACTCCGTTTGTAGAAACATGTCTTGCGGGTTGGTCACCATCTGGAGAACCCCCTTCAAGACTGCTGCGTATAACCTGAAACTGGCCAGTTGTAGATGTGACTTTAACCCATCCTTTACAGCTTTGGGCACACCATCGTCACAGACCTCTCTTTGGGATGCCCTTGTTCCGGACTGCTGCGGTACGGTGGCGGGGGACCCAAGCGCCGCGGATGGCTCACAGCCGTCCTCGTGGCAGTCCCTGCGGCGGCAGTCCGACCCACCGAGGAAAAGGAAGAAACCCACGTGGGACAGCCGGAACAGACGGTGCCTTGGCGCGGGGATGCCACGTGTGGTGTGGGCGCCCGACCCTACGGAGCGGAGAGCAGGTACAGAAGGTTCGGAGCAGGTGAGAGGGTTTTGGCGTCGAAAAAGGATCAGATTTCAGAGGTGATGGGTTTAAGCGGGTTGGGTAGAAAACCGTCCACGTCCGGTCGTGTTTGGACCCTGGTCGGTCTCACTTCACTACGCCCGGGAACCGGGTTCAGGTCCCCATGCGCTTCTCATCAGGTTCTCTTTGCTGTGTTTGCTGTAGAGAGTTTGGGTGGATAAGATCGTGAAGTAGGAGCGTCAGGAAGATTTTCCACGTTTGGTGGTTTTCTGCTGACACAGTAAGGTCCTCTTAGTGAAAACAATGAACACTCTTTTGTTGTACCCGACCTTGTAGTCATCATCCTATATAAAAGACCGATTGCCATGTCTGACCTGGTTTTGTAGTCTAATTCAGTTTAACTCCCTGGGTAAAACAACGGTTGTTGGCTTCCAAAAGCCGCGACCCTCCGAATCTTCCGAATGGCCTGACTCATAGTCCGAGGTACAAAGACGACTCGCCTGACCCGGCTCCAACGAACGGCGCCGCCACGTCCGAGTCCGGCCAGACGGGCGGTGCCCGTGCGGCGGAGCCGGCGGAGGCCCCGCGGGTCCGTGCGGAAGCGACCGGCGACGATTGGGGTGACTGGAGCTGGAAGGATCAGAGTTGGTGGGTGCCTTGGAGTTGGAAGTGGGGATGGGGGGCGGGCATGATGGTGGTGCACGGGATGGTGGTGGTGGTTTGAGGGATGGCTGACACTTGTGGGGTGGGGTCCAAAAGAAGGGGTTTGGAAGGTGTTTTTCCCATGGCTAATGGAGACTGTCAATTTAAGATGCTTGCATAAGATCCAGGTATACCTGCAGAGGATGGTCGAACGGAGGTGAGTTCGTACTTCCTGAGAATGGTCTTTGGGGCCAAAGGACATCCGAATCGGATGTTCCTGGACCCTTAGGGACTCTAACAAATTCTTCATGGATGGGGTGTCGTTGGCTCGAGGAGATGGTTCCGGACTGTGCTGATGGCTCCACCTGGCTGGCTGGGGGGGAATGGTGGGGTGAGGATGATCCAAGCAGGTTTTTTTCAAGGTGGAGGGGAGTGGCGGATGGTCAAAGAGGCTCATGTTCAGGCCATTGGACCCAATACTGGAAACACCGCTTCGACTGATCTGCACCACGGTGTAGTGCAGTATATGTTTAGCAGAGTCCATTGCTTGCCTGATCTGCAGGAGTCAGGCTTCGGGTAGAGTCTGAATCCCATACCAAGGAAGGGGAGAAACACATATGATTGAAGATTCTTCATCACAACTGAGGAGAATGCCCCCTCATCCCCCTCAAGAAACCATCAAACACACCATCCCTCACCAACAATAAGAAACACACACACACAATACATTCCCCCCAAAAAAGACATCCTCCTTCACACCCCACACACAACGTTGCGCAACTCCGAATGCACCTCACAGTCCTTCCCCATAAAAGAAAAAGGGGTCTTGGCTGCGCATGCAAGATCCCCACATGCCCTGCCCATGGCGTATTGCTGCCCTTGCAGTATCCTCCCTCACACACCCCGGACATCCGAAGAACACCCGGACCTCCGCTCCGCTCCGCTCCGCTCCTCCGGGTTCGTCGCCGCGGAGCCGAGGAGTCCTCCTGGAAGCGGAGCAGGCGGTGACGAGGAGAGGGGTTCCGCACGCCACGGGAGGCGGTGCCTCGATCGAGGCCTCGAAGGGTCGGAGGTGGACCCTTTTTCCCCACAAAAGGTCCGAGAGGGGTTCCTTGGTGTTTTTCTTGTGAACTGGGTCGAAACAGACCTGGAAGTGGATTTCTACATCACACAAACAAGAGACTTGGTTCTCCTCCATGTCCGATCCTTTCTTTGCGTAGGTGCAGGAATTCTTGAGCTAGCACACCTGAAAGACACTCTGAAATCCAACGGTGGGTTGCCCTGTTGCTTTTTGGCTTTGGGATTTTGTCCCGAACCTGAACCTTCGCACACACGACTGTGACGGCGGGTCGATGCACTCCTTGACATCATCATGGGCCAAGGAGGATGGGATGACCCGATGACGAAAGGATGACCATGAAAACCGAATACCAGAGAGGTGATTTTAACATGTCTTAACTCCACTTTCATGATGATTTCAAGGAGAGTAGAAGTGCGCCAGTCTGATGGGTGGCAGCCGAAACGACACCAGACCGGAAACAACGGTATCCGCGGGGTCCGCGGATTTTTCGGACGGTCTGGTGTCTTCCGGAGGACCCAGCGGTCAGGTACAGAACCGTTGACGAAGTCTTTGGCAAGGGATACTCCATCCACTGCAAAGACCTTGGAAAAGGCAAAGACCTGCCGCGCCCAATCTTTTTCTATGAAACAGCAAGTCCGCAATCGCGCAGAAAACCAGTTCCTCTTTCATTTAATTAGGGGAGCGAATATACGCAACATAGACATATACAGACTGTAGATGCATACAATGTCCGGCCTCTTACAAACCTGGTTCGGAACAGCCCGTTATTGGCCCGTCGCCTCATCCACATCGGCACCAGCCTCTCCAGGCCTTCGACTGCCCCACAGTCGACCCACGGCGCGCGACGATGTTTCGTGGCGCGCGAGAATCCCTCAACTGCCAGCGGGTCAAAAGGGAGTGACACTCTCTTGATTGGAAGAATACCTATAAAATCCTATAGATATATCTCTATATATACATATAGATGTAACACTCACATAAAGAATGTTCTTATTTTACTACATTTTGTTTCTTTTGCACTCTCAGGATGGTAAGGTGAAAATCCAGAATTCATCCAAGCTCATCGACCGTCAGTTCAGACATGGAGTCACCTTTTCCCAAGAACTCTGCCGATGATGCCCTTGTCTTCGTTGGTCACACCCTCCCCGGTCGTTCGTCTTCGCCCGAAGGATGGTCAGTGAATCGTCACGTCAAGAGACCAGACATCAAGGTACCGCACTTTTTTCTAACATGGTTTTTATGGCTGCAAGAAGATATGAGGAATTCGATGCATTCTATTGCCCCCATGCAGGTGTTCGTAGGTGGTGAGTCAATGGTCCTCATCAGTCGGTTTATAGGCCTTAAGATGAGCAAGCAGTGGGCCTTTAGATTTTCTTTGGGCAACGGCTTGCTTGCGCTGAATGACAGAAGCTACCTTGTGACCCCTTGTGACCCGCTGACGAACGCCAAGAATGATGCGCTGGACGAACGCAACAGAGCGCAACCGAGTTTAGTTTCGCTGTGCGCGGACAAAGAGGGGCTTCTCTTGTGATGGGACGGGCATCATGTTTGAGGAAGACGGACGAGCGTTCGGAATGTACACTTAAACGTCATGGTGGAGAGCTTCAGAAGCGAGAGAGATGAGGACACTACCTCATGAGGAGGAGTTGGTTCAGCAAAGAGGTCTATTTGTTGTTTGAAGGGGGCACCAGTTGCGGCCACAGACTATATAGTTCTTTTCGCTATCGCAAATGGGAAAAGCAATTGGAAAGGGGCACCGGAATCAACGAGAGATTAATGAAAGACACAACGTGGCTTCATTAGGGTTCCTAGGTCTCCACTTGGGGACTTGCATGAAACAGGAGATCGAGGTATTTTTGTTACACCAGCACTATGACGATAAATTAATCATAGAATCATATATTATTACAACTTAGAGAAGGTTCCAAAAATCAGTGTTCAATCGTTCTGCTTGGTTCACTTCGCTCCACCCCTTAGCTTGGAGCTTTAGGAGAGGCAATTTTTCGTGTGTGCAACCCGTGCTGTCTTCACAGGGGCGGCAAGTGGACGGAGACTGGCGTATGAGAGAATGTCAGGGTGTGCACGAAGACACATGACATTGACAATAACTTCACAGTAGATGATGAAATTGATGAGATCCACAAGAGCACCGGAAAGTGGGATCTACCCGATTGGTGCCCTTTTTCGGCTCAACAACATGCAGAAGCAGCATGAACAGACTATCCGAGACTAGAGAGTACTGATACGTCAGTGGGTCAAAACCTCCTCCACCAAAAGGTTGACCTCCCTGCTAGTCTCTTCTGTTCATGTTCTGTAGTCAACTTGAGTCCCCTGATTTCGACTCCCAAATGAGTCCTGACTGCTAGCTGATTTAGACTTCCGTCGGACTGCTGGGTGACATGCAGCGATGTAAAGGATGCTTCCAGGTCTTTCAGGTCAGTTTTCGACGGTTCACCGGGCGGGGCCACCGGCAGAGCTCAGCAGCTCAGCAGCTTGAGCCGTGGCCATGCGATCCATGCAAGCCTTGCGGTTGGCAGCCTCAGAGGCAGTCGGTCTGATTTTCGATAGATCATGGAGCAACTCTATTCTATCAGACGATCATATTATGACCTAAACTCGGAGAACGTCTTTTCCGAGTTGGGTCCATGATCTTTACAAATCAGACCGTCCTGACATGATACTGTATATGACATTGATAGTCTTAGTTGGTCCGACTTGTAAAGATCATGAGCTCCACGGACCTTCATGGACTTTTGCCCTTCTTTGTTTGTGATTTTCTACAGATGGGTGACATCACCTCACCATTGCTGATAGCATCCCTGAGAATGGAATCCTCTTCATCCCCTGTGGACTCCAATCTCGAACCCCCCAAGAACGCGCCAGCCGCAGTGCGCATCGTCCACTCTTCCGCTCTTCCACCGAAAACCTGCGCCAACGGCGGAAGGAAGCTTTCCGCGCCGAGGTTTCTGCCGCCCAGCAGCCAGGAGTACTTGGCCTCTGTGCTCTCGGAGCTGGGCCCTGAGGAACTTCAGGCGCGGGCGCGCGCGGGAGGCGCTTTCTGCCGCGGTTGCGATTCTCCGTGCCTGTGGGAAAAGGCTCTGCCGTTGGGATGAGCTGCCGGAGACCTATGGGACCTGATCTGGCTGTTTTGCGACCGTGCCAGAGCCGTGCCAGGACTATGAGACAGTCCGCATGCTCTTGGAGCCCTTCTTGCTGGATGCCTTGTACCGTGCCTGCAGTTGATGAAGTGATTCGTCGCAATTCCGTTCGAATTGAGTCGAGCAGAGAGTCTCAGAGAAACACAGACGACAAGTCCTTCGAAGTTCGTTTAGGGAGCTTCAAGCTTGGTTTGAAAGCAACGTCATGACCCATGTCTAAATAGAGCCTTACATCCAACCTACTCCAAAACCGCTTTTGAGCTTGGTCAAGGTCTTCAGGAGCTTTTTTGGGTTCCTTCAGTAGCTCCAACCTACTCAAGAGCTTCATGTCTTTTTTCAACAAAGCTTTGGACCAAGCGACTTCGGACTCCTTCCCTCCCTTCATCCAACCCATCCCTCCTCCTGCCGGACCCCTGGTCGCGCCTCACTAGGAAGAGCGGGCGGCAGACGCCAAACGACCGCACCAGCGGCGAGAAGGTCGGACACCTCTGCCGCTCGGGCACCGTGAGGGTCGGTGGGTGTGAGTTTTGTGGTGTTCTCGAAAGAATTACGAACATGACCAGAAGTTTTTTGTGGAAACGATGTGTTCTTTTTCCCCAAACAGTTTACTGTTAGGGGTTCTCAATGCTTTAAAGAATGGTCGCCTTGGTGCTGGATGGTCTGGTCGGGTTCCCGGCCGGCTTGTCTCCCACTTCCTTTCATTTGTCTCCCAGTTCTTTTCATTTGTCTCCCAGGCTGGGTGCTTGTGGTCGGGTTCCCGGCTGGCTTGTCTCCCACTTCCTTTCATTTGTCTCCCAGGCTGGGTGCTTGTGGTCGGGTT